TGTAACCAACATTGTTTCTCAGGATTAAGACCGATGGGTGCTCTTATACATAGTATCTAAGATATTAAGACTTCTATGCAATTAAAAAATAAATAAATAAAATAATAATAATAATAATAATAGTAATAATAATAATACTTATTTATATAGCGCATTTTCTGTTTACATTTTGTTCAATGCACTTTACATGAAAAGATGATGAAATACAATATTAAAATAGGCAACAATGAAATTACACAATATTATATAGAAAGATATAAAATGAGTGATACTATGATTTTTGGCAGTTTTTCTTCTCTTGGACATCATGAGTTGTTTTTTTTTTTAATTTTTTCATAATTATGTTGTTCAATAGTGTTATTATTATTACTATAGTGTTCTATCAAACACTATAGTAAATCTAAGATACACTGACTTGCTAACTTTTAAACACCACTATGCACGTACTGAGGTGCGAAAACACTGCACCATCAACGAGTTCCCGCGGTTGTGGTCAAGCCTACCAAATACTCTCAAAGACTCTAGTACTGGACAATGTTAATGTATTTACTGAAAAATTGAGAACATTACAAAACCATTATTTAATTAATTTATTTATATGTGGGTATGTGTGTATAAGTATGTACTATATGTGTGTATGTATATGTGTGTGTGTGTTTGTGTATTTATGTATATATTTACATATATATATACATGGTGTAGGCTTATGTATATTGATATTATTTTGTGTTTTTTATAAATTTGTTTGTGTATTTTTATTATTTTTATTCTTTCCCCTTTTTAATCTTATAATTTTAAATTCAATTTTTTCGTTTTGCAATAATGATTAATTTCTAATTTCTTCTGTTTTTCTTCCTAAGTATTATAAATTATTATTATATATTATATATTCAATATTATATTTCACTAAGGAGGGATTAACTAGCTTGTGAGTTACAGCGATTTTAATTACTTTTGTTAATCCTTGCCTCCTTAAATTTTCAGTTTTATTCTATAATTGTGAATTTTTTTTAAATTTTTTTTTTTAGTTTTATTTTACAGTATGTGCAAATTGTAATGTGATTTTTATAAAAGGCTAAATAAAGAATGAATGAATGAATAATCATTAACCTTTATAATACTTCTGTCAAATTTTGAAGACACTGAGGTCATTCTATCAGTTTTTGGTGACAGAATTTCCTGTGCTTAATACACAAAAACAACCTGACAGCATCGCCATTTTTTGGACATGTGATTGTTTTTAATTAAATAAGTTTCTCAGTATTATACACCCAGAAGTCATATCACAGAAAGTTTACTCGTAATATGTTTTGCAACCAAGAACTACATTTAGGATAATAACAACAATATATGAGTATCATTTTACTGTAGTTTCGATAAAAATAAACAAAAACAAATAACTGTTTAGTTTTAATTACATGAATATTTAAATTATTCACTTTGTGTACATGAATAAATTATTTGCTTACAATTAAATATTAAGAAATAGAACATTTTCCTCATCAGTAATCATGCATTTAAATATTATTTCTATTGTTATGAACCTTTAAATTGACTACTTTTACAGAAAAAAACTTGTCAATCGGCAAAACTACAAAATTTGAGGCATGTTGTGGCGAACTGGTAAATGAGCTGTAAAATAAGGGAGCTTTAAGAAAATTGCCTCAAAATCTAATTTTTTTTTTTTTTTCACTATAGATCAACAGTTTAATGTTATCCCAAAGTATTAGTTCTGGAAGTGGTTAACAAATCATTTATTTAATGTTATTTTGATAGTTAATTCTAATAAACAATGTATGCACTAATAACTTTGGAAGGCAATTATGAAAAAGCATGTTTATCTTGACTACAAGAGTGCTGTACTTTTACTTTTCAGTAACTTAGGCTTGAAATGTCCAATTTCAATGAATGACCCCTTATTTGGAAGATCACATACTTAAGTATTAGAAAATACCAATAACTTGAATTTAAATTTTTGCTATAACATAGCCATTTTGTCACACTATGCCTCATTTGTTTTGTCTTTATCTGTATCTAATTAAAAATTAATTATTTTTTTCTATTTATTTGATATATTAAATTTTGATTAAATTTTTTTCCGATTTTAAAGTTAGCTTTAATGATACTATGTGTTTTGTCATAACATATTTTCATTTGATCGTCACCGACAAAAGCATGTTGACAGGAGTATGAAACATTGAGTTGAGATTAGGAAAGGAGAAAATAATAGCCATCAAAATATGTGGCCCAATAACTTAACCATATAGTTTTGTATTAACATTCATAAGAATTTTAACCTTGACTTACAATGCCGCACAATTCCACAATTCCTAATCCCTCTATAATTCCACATTTTCTAATAGCGTTTTCCTGAGCTCCATCAAGGCTTACCGAATTTTAAAATTTGTGTAATAATGCCTGAAATCTCGGCTCCATTCATCTTTATGTAACGCTTAACTGACCGTATTGATTAGTAACTTATTCCAACAAAGCATATTTCATACGGTATATATGGAAATGGCCGTCTTGCATAATCATGATATGGCTATAGTGGTAATTTTATGGCTATATATTATCCCCTTTGTCTGTATAAATCTTGATTTTTTTTTGTGGTTGAGTTGGTGGAACATATACTGATAATCTTTATATTATCTTTGTTTTGTTACTGTGATAATCTGGCATTACTTTATCAAACTTTAAACTTTGATATAGTTTCTCTTCTTCTTTCATGATAATTTCCTTCTAGTTCCATCATGACAAATTAAAAAAAAGAAAGTTATTAGTTTATCACTTTTCTACACATACTCACCAACACCTGTCTCTTATACACATCTAGATGTGTATAAGAGACAGAATTAGTAGATAGTGTTTGTATTATGTCAATCATGTATTTTACTTTGAATAGCAATGTACCAGCAAACAATCCAAAGTGATATTTGGCTTTAGCAAAATAAAAAATATAAAGTGAAACCTTTCTTGGTGAATTGCACTTATATAGCCTTGTAGCCGTACTTGCACGTACTGTAAATAGAAGTAAATTAAGCGCGACATCACAGAAGAGTGGCCTATGGGTGGATGGGGAGATTTCCCTAGAGACTTGTGAAAGAGTTTATGAATATTAATTAAAGCTGAAATATTGAGTTAAATAGGCAATATCAATGACAACATTTATTACCTAACTTATTTCACAATATAATCAACTTGTTTTCACACACACACAGTTAATTTTCCATTTGTATATCATCATTGTATGCATCATTTATTTTGGAGGTTTTCATGAAGTCTCCTGGAATCTCTATCAATCTAATCTAACTTTACTATTTATACTATAGACACAAAGTAAACGAACACTATTATTTAGCGAGTGATGGCATTGTCCTTGTAGTTACATATACAGTGACCCTAACCCTGACCCTGCCACATTTTGCCTTCAATTTCCTGGATGCAAGTAAATGGGTATTGCAAGGGGCCATGCTTAAAATTCAGATGAAGTGAGGCGCTGCCGGGCTGTTTCAGCTAGACACACAGTGTTGAACTGTAATTTCAGTGATTTCTGCTTACTTGTTTCTGGATCATTTCTTGTGATTTGATGTTTAAATTTAAATGTGGGGCCTAAAATATATTTACTGGTGCCTTGTTTTTTCTGGGTTTTTTTGTTTTTTTTTGTTCAGTTTTGTTAATATTTACTTGTTACAAATATAAAACATCCTGACCACATCAAATTTTTGAAAAAGAAGACCAAAAATCTAAAATTTAATAGCTTAATAGGTGACAGTATCATATTTATGAGAAAAAAATAATCAAAAAAATTGTATTAATACCCATGTTTATTTACATACTGTATTACAAGTGTATCATATTGATTTTTAATTTTTTTTTATTACCTTTTAATTCCTGCTTACATTTTAAAAGGCATTAATCAAGCTATCACCTGTTTAATATCCATATTGTCATGTATAAGTCTGTTATGATTGATGTCAATTAAAAAGTTTTATGAGATAATTATTGACATCATTATATGATTTTAATATGAGTGCTTATGTTAAGTTTTATTAAGCATAGAAAATAGCCTATGTTTCATTTTTCAACTACTGTATGTAACATAAATCAATTTTTAGCTAATAATTGAAGCTGTTTATTATACCGAATAGAAACTTAAATAATGAGCAACTGTTGAGCAGTATAGAATATTCACAAAATTACTGTGACATTCTCTGATTTGAAACCGTTACATTTGTCAGCATTTCAAATTCCACGCCAGCAGCCAAAATGTCTGGAATCTAATTCTTCACCAATTCTGATTTTAAAATGAAGATATCACTAAGAACAATTTTGCCAAGTATCAATCACTAAGTCTAACAATAAAGTGTATTAAAATTATTTTTTCTTAAACTGATTTGCAAATCTTTGAAATCTGTTTTTTCAAAAAACTACTTGGCTAATATCCATTAAATTAATCCGGTCACAATTATATTCTCAAAATTACTAAATTTCTCAAGAAGTTTAGATAATTTGTGAAATATTTTAGACTCCAGATAGTCTAATTATGTGTTGGACAATTCATTCCATATAATTGACAAATTTTTCAGTTATGCAAATACACAGTTTCATTGTTAAAAATTTTGTAACTCTAACATTAAGGACGTCCAGCAGAATTGGTTAAATGAGCTATCTTAACACATCAAATTTTATTTTTCTACACATACTCACCAACACAGACTGCCATGAGACAATTGGTAATAAGGCAGTTAAAACATGCAAATATTAATTAATTTGCTGTAAATGGGTTAATTTCAGGGAGATTCTCGCTTGCTTGCAGGAGCGCGAGAGGACGTTCCGATTTCCATGAGACTATTTTGAGGTGCGGCAAACTTGGAACCCTTGCTTACTAATAACATATTTTTGTATTTTTTATTCTTTTGTTAATAAAATTTATATTGTTCTGTATATAGTGTAACGTTGTGATTTAATGGCAGACATGTATATTTTTGTATTTTTAGACTTGAAGAAAACCAGTTGGGCAATATGTTGATACAACTGCTAACACACAGCAATAGGCTATGCATAGCCCTAACCAAAGAGCAATACACCTAGGACATTACCTCTCCACATACTGCAGGTAGGTTTACAGTTTCTTACAGATTAAAATACCTTATTGTTGCCCTTGGGTGTAGGCTGGTCTTGGCCTGGAGGTGGGTGGGGGCTGTGAAAATTGAGAATGCAAAACTAAATCCCTATTCCAATGACAACTTAATGGTCATCTTTAGTATTTTAACCCACTTGGAATTATTAGCTGCCATGCTACATCCACTTTCTACTGTTATTAATGTACTGCTATTTCCATATTGGACAAATAAAATTAAATCTGAATCTGATTTTATGCACCTGACATACGTTTTGAGAGTCTGAACCAGATAGTATATTATATTAAATGAAATTCATCAATAAACTCTTGTCTTTATTGTAATCACCATTATCCCTTCTTTTCTGTCTTTGAACACTAGTACTAATACTAATTTTATAAATATATATTGACTCCTAAATAATCAGACCACAGGTTATTCAAATGATTATAACATAACAGTCAAAAACATATTGTAATTGACAGAGATGGACATGTTAATACAGAACATATTTCTCCACCGGTATTGAATTGTCCGATTATTTTACTTTAGCTTCATTATTTTAAACTTTGTTGTTAGGATGTTATTTTATTTTACTGTCATGCTTATGACAACATAATTCAAACTTAAAAGGAGGCCATGGCATACAAATGTGTTTAATACTGTATATCTTTCCAATTTTTATTAACTATCACTGTGTGCACGCAAAAAAGATAATATTCTGTCCTGTATTAGCATTATACTTTATTCATCTTTATTATCAATGGTTATTATTTAATATTTAGCTATTATTTGCGTTATCCTTATAAATAGTGTAAACTGGTAATGAAAGGACTGGCAAATAAATGGGTTTAATACAACCATAGATTTTTTATTAACTACAGTATGTAGATGCCCAACCATAGCCAAGTTGCGTGTACGTGACTATCGTCTCCTGTGGATTACTTGTAACTGCTATTGTTATATGATAAGTACAAATGCATGGTATTACCTGTAAAATTGAAATAACAATAACATAGAGTAGTACTGACTTGGCACCGTTCTCATTAACTGAAGGTTTTTCAAGTGTCCTCAGTCTCTTAATTTTTTATCCCCATTGATTTTGATATCATTTAATTTCTCACTGTAGTAATACAAAATATTTTCCCAACTTGCTCATTGTAATTTTTTTTTTATTTAAAAGTTTTGTTTATCTTTGTGATTATTCTTTTCAATCTTATATTAGACACAATTTTGATTGAATATCTTTTGTTAATGAGGAATATTTTTGTTTCATTATTATTCTTCTTTTACAGTACTTTATCATCATCATTTTGTAGTATTGTTGTCATCGTCATCATTTGTCATCAATATCATCATCATCATCATAATCATTTATAATTATTGGAGGTTAACATTGTAGACTGCAAAAAAACAAATTCTTTGGATCTGTATTTCATTGCAATTCAATTCTTTAACATAATTCAATATGAATAATTTAGGTTTTACCATAGACAGTACAATAAATCTTTTGAAGTCAGACTCCAGAGGGAAAAAATTGTTGATATGTTGTAGAACTGATTTTTCTAAGACAGAAAAAAGTTTTTTGACGAAAAACTGGGGAACGGTGAATGAGATACAGATGTTTGAATATTTAAAAACTGGGGGGGGGCGTAACTGCCCATTTTTACCCCTTTTTCCCCCAAGTTTTTAAATATTAATAAATCTGTATCTCATTCACCGCTGCTCAGTTTTTGATCAAACTACTTTTTTCTGTCTTAGAAAAATCAGTTCTACAACATATCAAATTTTTTTTCCTCCGGAGCCTGACTTTAAAGTGTTTTATTGGTGTTTTTGTTAACAGTATGTAATAGAGTATTGTTAACACCAGGTGATGCCTGTATGGTATGGTGAGTTTCATAACAGTTTATCAAACACCAGAGTAATCAAAATAATCAACATACTGAAAACTATCGCAATGGAAGTCTGCCTTCCTCCTACATCGCGGAGTATGAAAACATGCTAAGTACAAGCTAATACATCTTATCCTGCGTACTCATTTTACTGAGTGGGGTAATGCAAAAGCTTTTAACTGATTTCGCAAATCCCAATACAAAAATGTTCATTAATGAACGAGGAATAGCAATTCTTGATCAAGGTCACTATTGTTATGCTATTAGTGTTAATTGTTCTTGATCAAGGTAACTATTGTTATGTGATTAGTGTTAATTGTTCTTTTATCGGTTGGATATCACAATAGTCACAGTTTTTGATAATTATCTCTTAAAAAGTGTGTTGTAATTATCTTTCTGTTTTATGGTGGTATATCGATCGACCTGTAACCTGCATATATGTAACCTATATAAGTAATCATATAATTATAATAACCTCACTATTCAATCTGCTTTCACCTGTAATCTTCAACCACCTGCAACCTACATCCACCTGCAATGTACATCCACTTGCAACCTTGGTGATACGCCTCATCCACCTGTGCACCCTGCATCCACTTGCAACCTTGGTGGATATGCTCATAACTACCTGCCACCATGGACCTTGCATCTACCGGCAACCTGTTTTTTGTTCCACCTGCATCCACCATGCAACTTTATTCCAATTACCTGGAGGTAAACTGTAGGTACAGTATGTACCCATAGCTCATATCTACCTATAAGTGTAGCATCGTACACACCTCTTAAGGGGGTCACAGGTGTGTAATCATCATCTAGATGTTAGATGACTACCTCAACTAAATTGCTACAATTGTGTATCCCTTCATTCAATGTTGCTCTCCCCCTCCCTTTCTCTCCCCTCCCTAGCACTAACTCACGCTTTCTTGTATAGTATATTTTCTTGGGCATTTCCAAATGGATAGCATATTAGTAGATTGGTCAATTCTTGCTTTCATATTCTAATTCATGTACAGTGTTATCATAAATGTATTAATAATGGTAGTGTAGCGATGAACATCAATGTCTTACATGACTGTCTCACACCTCGTTCACTGGATTTGGTTGTCATTTTCATAATGGAAAGAGATTCAGATGGATTAACGTGCTGGAATCCTCAACACAAATGCTCCACTACACTGTGTATAATTTTTTACAACAGAATCGTGAATGAAATTCCATTTGGCAATCCCAAATCGACATAATCTAAATTTTTGGCCTTTTTTTTCGACGTGTTATTCATGTTTTAGATCTGTTCAATAATTGCTATATCGATGTCTAAACTTGTTTTGTCAGATCTTTCCAAATCGATTTACATCATTTTTTTTAAATTAAAAAATATGCCTTTAATTAAATGTTATAATGAAACACTTTTGAACCTGTAATATGAGCATTTATTGAAATGCAGATATATTAAAATGCTAATAAACTAATATGGGATATGCAAAAATGGACATTTAATTACGTGGATTTTTTTTTATTACAAAGAAACTACTGTAGAGTGTCAGTGAGTCCATTAAGTGCATACCTCCACCCTGTACCTGGCAGAAGCAATACAGTAACAATTGAATTTTGGTGGCAAGACTTTTATACCTTGTTTCGCCAACTTATTTTTTTAAAGGTCGTCAGAGGAGGGCGGACAAAAAATAAAACTTTGGTTTTCCATTTAATAATAAATGTATTAGCCAATTTACAGTAGGAAATATTTGGCACCAATTAAAGGAAGCTGGTAGTCAGACTTCAAATGTAAATTAAAATGCATTGTATCAAAAATAAAAGCCGTGAAGTAATTCCTATTTTAACTTTGAAAATGATGACAAGAAGCAACCTATGCAGGGAAACTAGTAACCTGGGTTCCAGGCCCTAATTTTGGGTTACTTACTCTTTAATGCGCTTAGTGCGCGTCATACCTAATTTGTTTGGCGTCTCATACTCGATTTCTTTTTTGTCGGATTAGGGCTTATGCAAACACTGCCTGATCATTCATGCATGATTTAACACATCAAATTCTATGTGTGATATCGTATGCATGAATGGCTTTATAAGTCACATGATTGGCTTATTTCGTGCATATTAATTAATCTTGGTAATTTTCAAATTGAAGATGTGCGGTGTCTCGGCAGCTAAGCTAGACAGCTGCGTTTTGCGTACCTACTTGAATTAATTTAGTTAAAAATATTTCCTGCTGAAGGGCGTAATGGACAGATAATCATAATAGTAACTTACAGATAACTCTGCTCACCGCTGAGAGCTACACAGATTTAGGCCTAGACTCTTAGAGTACTGTAGAACATTGTTAAAAAATTGACTGTATTATTAAGTAAGAACTTAAAAGTAGGCCCACGAGGCCTCTCTCTACTACTAGACTAGACTCTATAGGCCTAGTAGGCCATCCTCCGGGAAAGTTGTGCTGTATTTTTGTAATATGGACCATCTAATGCAGCCTAAGCTTAATTCATCTTTGCCATTGCTCACTCGTTCTAGGGTCTGTTCTATATATTTTAGGTCTGTTTTATTAGGGAGACTATTTTTTAGCCATGCCTAACTAGTCAATGCGAGACGTGACTCAGTTTCTGTAAACGTTCATGACTCTGAAAATATGAACATAGTGATTGGTTGAAATCGCCTATTTTGATCTGGCCATTTATCCAAATATAAGATTACGTCATTCTTTTCGCATCCAGGTACCTGCATGCAGTGTTTTATAAGTCCCTTATTCTGTCTCAAAGTTAACTTGCTCGTTGGTGACGCTGTCTAAAATTAGAAAAACATAATATGTGACTTGTGTGCAAGTCTATGAAACTAGCTGTCACTGCATTGTTTGCCTGCAGTTTAAGGTGCACTGGCCAGCCTGTAATTCACAGACGCTCGAGTGATGCCAGCATCTAGATTTAGCAAAGAGTTTTGACAAAAACATCCAGATGGAGGAGAAAATAAAAATTAATTTTATTGATGAATGTAATCAGTGTAGTAATGGGATGGTTAAATGCTTTAAATTTATATGATTAGGAAGAAATATATGTATATCCTATTTTTGGAAATTTCAAGGCGTAATAAAAATAAAGAAA